TTGAAACGAAGTTCGACTATTGTCAAATTTCTTCTGATCCAAGATATCTTGGATCGATTAGAGTGGTACTGACCAAAGCGTCTCTCTGACGCTTCCCGGTAATTTTCTGGTTGTTCCCTTTTTTAATCCCGTTTTACACCCAGCTTTGACTTTTTATTGTGGTCGTTTTACGGTTGTATACATGTTTTCAAATTCTACTCTGTTTCCCACATAAACATCGTCGTCTTGCTAAGATCCGAGGCGGATGAACCCTTCGCGTCCTTGTTCGATGAGTCAAATGCAGCTTGCAGCCATTCTGCCTGTTCTAGGCCAGTTACGGATTCATATGGTGGTATTCAGTGTGATGTTTGCTCCCGCTGGTATCACAAAAGTTGCACCGGCCTCCGACCCAATCAGTACAATATTTTATCATCCAGTGAAAACCTTCCGTTTAGATGTGCTGATTGTTGCGCGAAGCTCCCGGATTTTACCTGTGCTGAATTCAAAACAATGGCAACCAGTTTCACAGTTGTTGATAAGACGTTAGCCGAGCTTGCCTCTCTTGTCTCACTCTAAAAATCCCTGAATATTACGAATGTGGACGCTGTAACGGACTATTCTTCTGCTGACAATCCATCCGGTGACGAGGCGTTCATCCTACCGGACGCTCCAGTTCACATGGCGATAACTGACACAGATGTCTCGGACGGCATTGTTGACCCGCCCCAAATGGAAGGCGAGTCACGGTCTGCTGGGCCATTAAAGAATAAGCGTAAGAGGGCAAGGAAAGCGCGCAAACCCTCCGCTTCCATACAGGGAGATGCTAACATGCTCAAGAAACAATCGCCTGAGCTGGAAACACCACCTGATGTTGCAATTTCCTCGGTGAGACAGGAGGTGTTATCGCATTCGGTCCCACCGATTCCTGTCAAACAACCATGTGGCGTGGATGGCGGAGCATGTGAAGTAAATACACCTCATCATTTCGATTCCTACACAGACAGCAGTGTGATTTTCAGCAATGTCACTGAATCCACTGCCGCTCTTCCCACCGAGCGCATGCTTGATGATCTTGGTTGGCTTAAAGTTTGCGTGACCAGGCTTTTACCACCAGGTTTCCCTAGCGTTACTGTCAGGAAGCTCATCAGGTTAGGGAACGTTCTGGTTGGTCAACCAAATCTTCGACCCCGTCTGCTTAGGGTGGTCCTCTCCACCCCAGAAGAGCGCAGGGCCTTACTGAGATTTGCCTTCAAGCTCAGAGGTATCAACGTTAGTGTGCATCCAGACCTAACGTTAGCGGATAGGTTAAAGTTAAAAGAAGCCATCAGAGACCTAAAAGCCCGACATGCAGCTGGCGAGCAAGGTCTCCGATTGGTGGGTTTTCAGTTGGTCAGCCGGCGGTCCTTTTCCGCCCTGCCAGAACCTATACTACTTGCTCACGACCCAGGGCTGGTCGTGCCGAGGTCCTCCAAGTAGTACTTAGTAACGTGCGTAGCCTGGGGAACAAGATGTGCGAGGTGGGTCTGCTTGTAGACAAATGTCGTCCAGATATACTTGCTTTCACTGAAACGTGGCTGTCTGAGGAAATCACAGATGGCGAAGTATATCTGCCTGGCTGCGCACTGTTCCGCGCTGACCGCTACATTGGCCCTCAAGGACGTGGTGTAGCTCCTTATGTGAGTAATCGCATCGACGTATTGAGGACCACCGTTTTTCAGTCTCTCGACAAATCTGTTGGGGCTTTCGCAGTCTTGAGTTGCGCTTCCTCGGTTCAGGTTACGGTCGTGTTAGTGTATAGAAGCCCTATGAGCACCTCCAATGGAATCATTGAGTTTATACGCACTCACTCTGCGAACAAGTGTCTGGTGCTGGGAGACTTCAACCTCTCAGAGGTTTGTTGGGATGATCTGTCTTGCAGTTCGGCCCTGTGATCGTTCGGTACAGAACTGCTGGACTTGACGCTGCAGGTACCACTACACCAGTTCGTGGACCTCCCCACTAGGTACATGAGCAATCAGCAGCCGTCCATTTTAGATCTCGTTTTTCTAAGTCACTTGACTTTGTAAATGACATTAAATACGACTCGCCTCTTGGCGCTAGCGATCACGTTTGCTTGTCTTTCCAGTGTGCCCTTATCAGGTCTTGCCAAGCTACTACCAGTAGGTATCCGAACATTTGGGCCGCGGACTTCCAAGCGATGCGAGATAAAGCTAGGTCATCGCCTTGTATGACATCTGAGACCGACACTGTTCACATATCCTAGGAATAACTTAAGGCTCATCTCGTTGACATTTCTGCACCTTATATCCCACTGTTAAAAGGAAGGGAATCGACAGCGCAGTCTCCATGGATAGATTCCGCGGGAAAGGCCTGCTAAGGAAGCGGTCTAGACTCTGGCGAGCGTATCGAACAGCACGTTTGAGAAGTATCGGTTGGTTCGAAATGAGTGCAAGCTACATCTTAGGTTGGCCCGGCTTCAGTATGAAAAAGGCTTAGCTGATACTGCCTCGAAAAATCCCAAGCAGTTCTTCGCTTACGTTAAACGACGCTGTGGTGCAAACTCGCCCATACCACCATTGCTTCGAGGAGATGGGACCCATGCCTATAGCGACTATGCCAAGGCATGCATGCTTGGTGAGCAGCACTCAAGCGTCTTTGTCCGCGAAACAAATACGCCATGCAAAGAATTAGCTTCAGGAGTCTCTGAGGACTGTTGTCTGGATGAAATTTCTGTAACTGAGTCTCAAGTTCTCCGGTTGCTAAGAGAGGTAAACCCAACTAAGGCTTCCGGGTCAGATTCTGTTCATCCAAAATTGTTGCACGAATTGGCGATGGAACTCAGTGGACCTCTGCCTTGTGTGTTTCAGAAGTCACTCAACAGCTGTCTTACCTACCGAATGGAAGGAAGCTACTGTCTGCCCGATTTTCAAGTGCGGTGACAGACCTACCGGCTGATTACAGGCCTGTCAGCTTGACTAGCGTGGTCGTTAGGTTATTTGAAAAATTAGTACGAGATATATTGGAGAACTATTTAAATAGGTTTAACCTGCTTAGCATCGAGCACCATGGTTTTGGCAACGGATTTTCGTGTCAAACGAACTTGGTGATAGCTCGTGAGAGCTGGGCTGAAGCCGTAGACAGTGAACATGCGGTGGATGTGGTGTTCATTGACTTCGCCAAGGCCGTTGACGCTGTCCCCCATTTGCGACTCTCACTGAAGTTGTGGTCGTATGGAATATCTGGTCGCGCTCTCCAGTGGGTGTCAGCTTTTCTGGATGGACGGGAACAGTGTATTCGTATGGGAAGCAGTCTTTCGTTTCGACAAGCTGTCCTTAGCGGCGTTCCGCAAGACTCTGTCCTAGGTCCGCTGCTGTTCACAGTCTACGTGAATGACTTGCCAAGGAAGCTTGAGGTACCATCGCTCTTATTTGCTGATGACCTAAAGCTCTGGAATATTGTTGATATCCCTGGAGGTTCTATGGCTCTTCAACGGGCT